GCATACGATGACGCACACAGTGATAACGTGTCCCACAAGCTCCAATAAGGACAATTTGAGCTTTTTATATTAGGTAACACGGGGTGCGCGATAGACTTACCTCCACGTGGTGCACCCTGGGCAACGTATACTCATACGGCAAAAAAGTCTATTAACCGGCATTTGACTTCTGACTTCAAAATACCATGGCCCAACTGCTTGTCATATTCGACCCCTTCCAAAGTACTCATCTTACCTTTTTCCCTACCTTTATGTCTGTCTGCCTCTTTTACATCTGTGAATCGCTCTTCTATTCCCCACCCCTCGACTTTCTGCTACTTTGATGAACCTTCCCTCTGTGAAGCCCGAAGTCAGCCAATTGGCTAATGATAGCTATCAACACGGCTGCCCTTTTGAAATAAATATTAGGTAACATGCAGAAGTGATAAGAAAATGAAATGAATGTTTTCAACTAATGCAAAAAATTAATTTCAAAGATTATTCAACACTCCACACCCTAGATTAAGAGTCAAATAGCTCATTAGAGGTTTCTTTTGTTATAGACTGCCGATTCTGGGCTAAGAAAACTCACTTGTTCACATTGACCTTGTATTTATTCCTAATTCTCCACTTTACATCTGACCGGCAATAGTAAATGTAGACGGGAGAAGTTATCGGTCATTTCTCATTGAGCTGCGTACCATACTACGCCAAATGTAGATACGTACGTGTTTAAATTGTGCGCTATATAATCCATATAGTATTCCTAATTCTATACCTCTGAATTTCATAAATCTCAATTGCTTTTCTGTGTTATGAGGTTTTGGAAATCTTAATGCCAAGTAAGTAACAAATCGTAATAAAATGACGGGCATTTCTTTAAGCACAATCCGACCTCCCATCAACGAGCCTGATTACCGAAGAGTAAAAATGATCTGAACTTTCTATTTAAATACTTCAGTAGTATATAATTTACATTAAACCAACGTTCTTGTGGAGTTCACAGCAGAAATCGCATGCGCATTCAGATATACAGACATACAGAAGGTGCGGCCACGATACTTGTCGCGTAGGCGGAAAGTGCGACCGTGCGTGCAGAAACCTCTCAGACAGACACCAATCAATTGTCCCTGAATCGTTTAACAAACCCCTCATTGTATTTGAATGACTAAGCACTGCGTCAGACATACGCAACCCAAAATGGCATGTTACTCGCCATACGTCTGTTTCCCTTTTATACTATAGTTTTGGGAGAAGCGGTTTGCCGTAGAGTTTCCAGAACATAAGTCAAGATTTGTTCGTGTAGCGCTCCGCTCCATTCTATTCGTGTATGCATAATAATGAAGTTACTCTTTGGGTAAAGTGTTAGTATATGTGAAATATCGACTTTATAAAAAGAACAACTGGCAAAAGACAATTTTTATTAATAGACATTTAATGTGAGAAATAAAACAATTTTTTAGCATATTCACGAATTAGTTGTCTTCGTTCCAGGATAAATGCTTCCCAATCTGGAAAATAGTAAATAAAAATAGCTTTTGATTTTGCTGACATATAAGACTTAATTTGGCAGATGACAATGATGTCTAATGGCACAGAACTGCCTATTTGCTGTTAAATGTGCTTAAGTGGCGGGCTAAAAGACGTTCTTTACCTAACGTACTCTAACATACTAGCTTTTAATGGCTTCTAATCCACATACCTTGCATTAACTAAAGGGCCCTGTGACTCAAAAGATGAGGGCCGCACCATTTTGAGATCATTCTGAAGGTTTTCTTTCACAATCAGACGTAGTTGTGACAAAGCAACTTTAAAACTGGCCACGATCTCTAACTCAATGAGGGTGTTCAAGAAAATCTCTGCTCCAGTTTCAATAGAAATTATTCAGAAATCGAATTCGGTCCAAATTTATTCTCCTCAATCACTCAGTGAATTATTGAAGTCTATGCAGCCAGCTGTACGTATGATATTATTCACGTAGATTTAGAATTTATAAGAAAGACGTGACAACAGGTAGCCACAGACACTTACCCATGATTATCTCCTCTATAAATGAAACGAAAAGTGTTTAAACGCAAAAATTGCCCTCAAATTGGCAGATAAAAAGAATGAGATTATTTGAGTAAAGGGGCTTACTCGACCAATGGAATTGGTTCAGGAAGAGGTTTGTGGAAATTGTCGCAGTTGATGAGCCAATGACTGAAAGTTTTGAAGCCTCCATCGAACTCAATTGGGCCGCGGTATTGAGTGTGATAACCGCCAATCTCGTCCAGTATCTCCTTTATCTGTTGGCTGATGTGAATTCTGAAAGCTAATGGTTGAAAAGTACTTTCTAACACTGCTATTTTATTTTAATATATAGCGGCAATGATATAATGTGGAGATTCACCTGCTCCCGAGGATTCCATTTTCTGAGCCTGATTAACAGTACCACCAAATAGACAGTAGCGAGGCATTGTTAATCCAACAACACCGGCTACACAAGGTCCTGAAAGGAAAGACAGTTGGAGAATGGGTAGGCCGCCCTTAATTTCCAACTCCTATTACCTCTCAAGATGCGTCGAGATGCATCCAGGAATTAGCGCACTAAATTAAATGTGAAGTATGCAGATCGAAAGCACAAAGTACACTAGCCTTTCACAAGATCGAAGAGCTCAACCAATCAGAATTTGCGATAATCGAAATATATGGCCAACTAACGGTCGAATCCAAAATATATGGTACTTTATTTCCTAATCATCATTTCTTATGAAGCCAGTTATAAACACTAGCACATGTGGAACCACCAGTGAAACAACTAATACCAAAATTTTACTCCATTCTTTTTGTCTGGTGATCTGAGTTGTAGTTGAATTATTCGAAAGTAAAAATTTAACAGTGAAAAAATGTCAGTTCCTTGATTGTAAGTGCCTTGTTATTCCCCACGCAAAGAACACCCACCCCATTTTCCGGTCAACATGGCACTCACCACCAATTCAAAATTCATAATTAACTTCTAAAGCTTGATTAGTGTAAATTTTGGAGCTGATGATTAGGTGAACATTCTCATAAAGCTTTATCTGCAATTCAGAGTAACAAAATACGACTAACTTAGTAACACTAAGAGTAGTAGAAATTACTGGAAGTTTCAAGCTGAACATGTTAAATACGCTTCAATTATGGTAACCACCACAAAATTATTAAAAGCATGATTTGAAAATAAGTTCATTTAAAATATTTGAAATTTCGGAAGCCTTGTCATAAATTTTCTGATGTTTGTTTAAGAGGACATTCAAATTTCTCCATTAGCTAATTGGATTCTGTTGCGTGCGAAAGTTTAAGTGGGCTATAAATTCTTGTAAACAGAAATTTAGTCTAAATTGTTCAATCCCGTTATTAAAAATATTATTTCAAATCGAAATTCCTAATAACTATTCCGAGGCGTGAGGTTTAATTCGCTAAAAATATTTCGTAGGTCAGATGAACAGCCAAACTTCAAATATAGATTTAATGAGAAAAAAACGCGCCAAGTAAGCTCAACGATTTAAAGACTCATAAAAAGGACACAGTACTAGTGTTTTAAGGATGAGATATGATCACTATCATTTGCACCAAGAAGTATCTACTTCACTGTCAAAAAATTGAATTGTTAATCAAAATGCCAAGTTAGGAAAACACAAACGAATGCGATGCGTCTATTATAAGTTGGAACTCATAGTAAATGCTGCATTACAAGAATAAGCCTTCAAGTTTTTCAGTCCATGATTCAAGAGTACCAATAGGCGTATATTCTTACAAAATGTTGCTTAATTCATTTACTTGGCAATCAGAACAGAAAATTGTAATATTCTACTCTTTGGAAGTAGATGACAGTTTACACTATATAGAATAACTATCGAGACAAGTTGGTTAGTTAAAATCCTATACAAATCCAATGGAATATCTCGCGTACCACTATGAAGACCGATGCGCAGTCTCAATGGAACATCAGGCAGATGTTTGATGGTAAAGGTTCCACAAGCACTAAGGAGATCTAATGCTGTCATAGCTACCTCACCAGCATGGCATCTACCATTTCGAACTGGCAGGCCCGATGTTACCATATAGGCATCTCCAATTGTCTCCACTTTATAAACATCATAGTTGGCAATTGTTTGATCGAAGAGGGTATAGAGATCATTCAGGAGATTAACTACTTGCATAGGTGTAGACATTGCTGAGATTGTAGTGAATCCGACAATATCACTGAAGTAAATCGATACTTCATCATAGGTCTCTGGAGCTACAGCTATTCCTGATTTGAGAGCTTCTGCAACAACCCTATTAAAAGAGGTCAATATAAGCGTTAAGTCATTAAACACGTACGGGGGCAACATTCGGCCAATAAGAAGGTCCTTCTTCTTCCTCTCGTTTTCTAACTCCTCCATTCGAGCTCCAACTTTGTCTTCCAGTCCAGTTGAATACTGCTCCATCAACTTGAACATATGCTCAACAATATCGGTTTTCCTTAAAAAGGTGAAATGACTGATACACTCCTTCAACCTACTTCCCCATTGCTAGGTACTGCATCCTTTCACTGAGTTCTCTGAAAATAGGTCTTACACTCGGATTCTCATGCCAGCACTGCTCAAGAATTTCTATATAAGGTGTGGGAATTTCCTCACCATATATCTAAGAAAGAAAAAAGTTGAGAAATTTGAAGATACCGGTGTTACCTTTGGTCTGAATGGAGGTTTTTCCGTTGTAGTGACTCTCTCTACGATCTCTTCACCAGAATGCCAATCTGGTCCATAAGGTTTAGTTCTGTAGAAAACCTTGTGCATTATTATCGCGAAGGAGTAAACATCACCAGCTCTTGTTCCAAATAGTGCTGCAGCTTCATCTCTCAAGAGTTCAGGAGCCATCCAAAGTTTATCTTAGTTTTTAAAAGAAAGGAAGTAGTAAGTATCCAGGACAGATATTAACTCCAGTATATGAAATGCTGTTGAAACAATTTACAAACCTTCTAACTTAATCGGTGAACGACCGCCAGTAAGAGTGTAGATATGTTGAATTCCAAAATCAGTAATCTTCAACACCCATCGACTGTTGATTACACAGTTAGTAGACTTCAGGCGTCCATGAGCTTTGATAAGCGTGCTGTGAAGATAGTCCATTCCCTTGGAGAGTGAGATGCTTAAATTTTTGTTATGATAAATAAGACCTCAGATAAATGAGTGCACTAACCTTAACGAAATCAGTTATGAGTGATAATTTGAATTCCCAGTCAAATATAATACTGTCATTATGAACGACATCCTAAAGGCAGAAATTAGGCGCAATCGAATGAACAGTTTCTCCTTTAAAGTTATTAATAAAAATTTTGGTTGAATATATACATTTACTAGTACACTAATGGTTGTCACAACTACAACAGCCACTGACACAACACAAGTTTGAAATATCTTAAGTTCTAATGAAAAAAGAACGCTTTTTATTCAGAATAGGCCGATTTCTGTACTTGTTCTAGTTGCATTGTGGTAAGCTCACCGTTGAAAAAATTTGTCGTCACTTACTGATTCAACGCCGTTTTCCATCTACCACATGCTGAGGTTCCACTCCTCTACAAAAATTCCCCTCTCTTATTGGATTTGTCTCATTTAGCTATCGCGTACACACGCGGGCATGTTTCAGTTCTGCGATCTTTCCTAAAGAGCCAACTCCCACCTTCCCTCAATATTCGTTTGAAGGGGCCCGTACCCACGGGGAGATTTCTCTTTCCTACACTCAGGCTACTCTTAATAACCTTAAAAGTCTTGCACATGCCACAATCCGTGACCCTGTGTATTTCAACGCCCGTTTATCCATTAAAATGGGGGGGGGGTGTGCAATAGACTTACCTCCACGTGGTGCACCCTGGGCAACGTATACTCATACGGCAAAAAAGTCTATTAACCGGCAGTTGACTTTTGACTTCAAACTGCCATGACCCCACTGTATGTCATATTCGACCACTTTCACAGTATTCATTTTACCCTTTTCTCTACTTTTGTGCCTGTCTCTTCTACATCTTTGAAACACTTCTGTTCCTCCCCCCCCCACTCTCGACTTTTTGTCACATTGATGTTCCTTCTCCTCTCTGTGAAGCCCCAAAGTCAGCTCCAGGGCTAATGGTAAATATCAAAACGCCTGCCATTTGATATAAACAAATAAACATATATATATTATAATGGCTTACTTTATGGCTAAAATGTAAGGAATAGTTTTTTTCTGCTACTGTTTCAGGACTAAAATTAGTATCCACAATGTAATCATTCGCTTATAATAAATGACCACTTCCTCTGCCCTCAAATGATTATGCTATAGCAAAGCCACATCTGTTATCGTTACTCTCAGAGTAGCACTTTTCGCGGGGTCAAAGTTGAAATGCTTGACTAAAGGCATAATAACAGCTGTTGTGATAAGTCATAGGACTTTAGGAAAGCTCTTATTAATTCAAACTTTGGCAGAAATCACTTTCTCCAAGTAGGGAAACATGGCGTAACTGTGGATGTGGTATTATTATCTATGGAGACGAGAAAGTTTTATCTCTTTATGCTCGTCAGCCAATCATATTTTGTAAACACGTATTACACAAGTGCTATGGTAGAGGAAAGCGATCTTTAGTTACCCAATTGAAATAAGAGACTACCTTAAGTGATCCACGATGGCAATAATCTTGCACCAGATTGAAGGAATTATTAGACAAATAACATCCCAAGAAGATATTGACATTCTCATGCCGAATTCCTCTCAAATCAGCCAAATATGCAGCCAATTTAGAGCGAACAACTACGTGGGATATCGCCAGTTCTTTAATGAAAACGGTATCACCCTATAAAGGAAAAAGAACACTCGAATAACCAACAGAAATCCTTAGAGATATACGCCAAATGAGAGTTACATCCAAGGAGACCATTTCCTTTTTACTCGTGTTCCTCAATACATCTTCAAAGTTACTAAAGTTGGCGACAGAGACACGAGTTTCAGACGTTGACGTTTGAATAGAGGTATTCAAGTTCATTTCAGTAGTAGAACATCTTTGGTGCTATGTATTTGGCAACATAACTAATCATACTCCTTACGCTATATCTAGTTGTTGCTTCGTCCTCCTCATGGCCTTTAAAGATAAAGTCACTTTCACGAAAGACCAACTCGAGTGAATTTATTTTCTTGAAGTGGCGCTCCAGACGTCTAGAATGTGAGGTCATTTAAGTAAAAATGCGGTGCTCACCTGTAGCCGAATACAATGAAAAGGTAGATAAGAAGTGTAGAAAAGTTTCCAGCCAAAGACAACTCCAAAATAACCGTTACAGATGCTGCAAGAGCAAAATATTACAAGGGAACCTTAAGCACTTACATATATCACAAGAAGAGACTAGACAGGATCTGCGTCGAGGTCCACTTCCATCTCCTGGCCAATTCATTTCCTCAATCTGATGGGGAAGCATCAAAGGATACCTGATGACATCGACTAGCCTAAAGATCTCGCCATCATGACCTTGAAGTTCAATACCAATTTTTTTGGTGGCGTTGGGTGTGAGAGTGAAGAGAAGCATATCAAAGAGACCCTCCACACCCATTCCACTAACCATTTTGTATAGGAAGGTAATGTTGGGTAGAGTTGGAACTTCAATGCTCCCGAGTAGAGCCAGAGGTGTGAAAAGACCATCTTTAGAGCTAATATCTCCGCCTCCTACTTCGAGATTCATTTGTACCAGTCGCGTTGCCAAAGCCGCTGCACTGGCTACAGCTAGATTGATATTCTGTGGAGATTAATAGACACAGCTAAAGATGACTATTTTAGGTAATCGTGTTCCCAGATATTAGGAAATGATGTTTGTCATAGAGGGGTGTGAGATAGACTTACCTCCACGCGGTGCATCCTGGGCAACGTACACTCACATGGGAAAAAAGTCTATTAACCGGCAGTTGACTTCTCACTTCAAACTACCATCACCCCACTGTATGTCATATTCGACTACTTCCACATTACTCACCTCACCTTTCATCTACCTTTATTTCTGTCTCTTTACATCTTGAAACACTCTTCTGTCCCCCCCC